TCAGAAAACATTAACCGGGGCAACAACAGACACCCGGCCCTTCATCTTAACTTGATTTTCAGTTGGTCTTAACTTGATTTTTCCTTGGTTGTTGTCTTTGGTTATTCCTGTTCAAAATGACAAAATTGAATGTGATCGATGTCTATTTTGAGCTCAGGAGTCAAATTGTCCCTGGAATTTCTCAGGCCATCATGCTGCTTAGTGAAAATGGCTGACAGAAGGTCAAAATGATTGACAGAAGGCCCAGCCCTGGCTTGATGCACTCAGAGGTCATATTTCATATCAGTGGAATAGTTCAGATAAAGTTTAAAATAAGATAGGCAAGGATTGAACTTAAGTGTTTATAGAATTGAGTTTAGGATCTGGCTGTACTAGGTTTATATCGGTTTCTTTTCTTCTGACTATTGTTATTGATACAATTATTGATAGAAATGATGATTGGGAAGTAAAAATAGAGAGCTTGTAAGCCTACTTGCATTCAGTCATCAATTTGAATCTTTAAATAGGTTAGGACATGCCTGCAAAAAAGGTTCTGAAAAGATAAGCGCCACCAGTGCTTTGGAATACTTGGGACATTTGCATAAGAAGAGACTTGCTGAGATAGTTCACATTTATTGCGCCAACATGGCCAATGAACACATGTGGGATTAATTGAAGGGCGGAGAGATAAATAGCTCAGCGGCCTCGCCTCTCTTGTCTCTTGCTCTTTGATCATTGGACCAGTGTGCAGCTGCCTTGCTTGTTTTGTGCCTCAATTTTCAAGCTACACTACCTGTGGGACACCTAACCTGTGGACTATGTCACTGTAATTTGAGGTTCCTTCAAGACTTGCTTTGCCACACTATTGGAATTTTACATTTCTTGAGCTGGGCACCATCAGACCCTGTCATCTGCTGACTGTTGGTGACCTGCTTTGCTGTTTGCTGCCTGTTCCCGGATAGCCTGAATTGCTCTACAGAGGACTACCTGGTGGCCCTCAAGACTTGAAGGACTGCCAGTGTCTCACGGGAGTGAGTTGCACTAAGCCATTTGTACTGCTTTATAATTTAATTAAATGTTTATTCTTATGTTATATATCTATCTATAAAAATATAAATAAAATTATTAGTGTTCTGGTCTTGTTTCTCTAGAGAACCCTAGAGGGGTTCCCAGGGGGCTGTTGACAGACTGAAAAAGAAATAGAACCCTTTGGCTTTTTAAATGTGGAACAATTAAATTTTATGCCTGCAGCTGGAAAAATTTGGAGCCATAAAGGAACTTTTCTTTCTACGACTGAACATTAAAGGGAGCCTTCAGGCAGCCTGAAATGATTGCTAGGTGACCACCTGGATCCACTTGTTGAGTGGACGTGGGAGAAGTGCAGCAATAAAGAGACAGCTTGAGTCTGGCCACTGACACCCAAGGACCTGGCTCAAAGGGACTAGCAGAGAAGGCGAGAGTGGGTTGACTGGTCGGAAGTTCATGATCTAGCCCAAGGGGGCTAGGGTTGTTGAGAATTTATGGCAGGTACCATGGTATAAAGGTGAGGTGGCCAATGGGCACCCTGCTGAGGTTAAGCGAGGCAAGAGTTCACATTAAGTTGACCAGAACCTGACGAGATGAAAAGAAGATTTCTGAGCCTGTGACTGGTGGACATGGCTGCTGACTTTAGGGATGGCCTCCACTGATTTGACTTTGCTAATGGTTGCAGAGTCACAGAGTTCCAACTGGAATGAAGATTCTTCACATCAAAGAATATGACTGGTTCCTCAGAGCACTGGATTTATGTAAGTGGTCAGTATAGAAATTGGATACCTCAATTGGGCAGATAAAGGCAAGAACTGGCTGGTTTACTAACTTTCATAGGTCGGGGAACATATTCATAGGATTATAGGATTACAGTGTAGGTGCTCACATAACTGCAATAGTTAAGTATAGAATATTTTTGTTTTGTTCATTTATTGAGTATTATGTTTAAAAGAGACTGACATATTTTGA